TCCATCCATCCATCCATCCATCCATCCATCCATCCACATACCCACTGACCCCCCAATCCATCAATCCACCCACCCGCTCATTCACAAGTCTACCCTCCTACTTATCCATCCTCTTACCCACTCTTCCATTCACACATACATCAGTCCACCCAGCCTTCTATCCAGTTATTCACACCACACACTGGCTACAGCTGAGCCATCTCACACATGTGTATTTGGGCCTTTGCTGCTAATATGAAACTAGCAGAGGACGACGAGGCTGTGTGAAAACATAGAACTGATAATGACTTTACGGAGTTGGGGACACCTGAGCTGAGCCTCGGCAAAGATTCTGGAACTGGAAAATAAGAATTTACCTTAAGGGCTCAGTAATTAAGAGCATTTGTAGATTTTGCAGAGAACTTGGGTTCTGTTCCTAGCACCAACATGGTGCTCACCAACTACCCATAACTCCAGTTTCAGGGGATCTGATGCCCTCTTCTGGCCTCAGTGAGCATTGCATGCACACACACACACACACACACACACACACACACAGAGGCACAACACTCATATACATAGAATTAAATATTTTTAGATTTATTTTTATTTTTTTAACTCTGTGTGTGTGTGTGTGTGTGTGTGTGTGTGTGTTTAGGTATGTGCACATGAGTGCAGGTGGCTGCAGAAGCCAGAAAACTTGGATGCCCCAGAATAGGAGCCAGTCACTGACATGGTTGCTGGGTAACTTAGGTCCTGTTAAAGAGCAGTATGTGAGCTCTCCCTCTCTCCCGGTTTTCTGAAACAGGGTCTCTCCGTGTAACAGCTCTCGCTGTCCTAGAACTCACTCTGGAGACCAGGCTGGCCTGGGACTCACAGAGATAAACCTGCCTCAGCCTCCTAAGTGCTGGGATGAAAGGCTTGTTCCACCACCTCCCTTCTCCAGTATGTGCTCTAATCACTGAGCCATCTAACCCCCAAATAATTAATTTTAAGAAAGAATAAAGAAAAACAGAATTTACCCTAGATTGGGGCTGGAATAATAGCTCCATGGTTACAGTGCTGGCCAGGCAAGTATTATAGCCAGAGCCCAGATCCCCAGAACCCTCATCTATGTCCAGTCTTGGAGGATCAAGACACAAGATTGTAGGGCAAGCTTCCTAGTGGGACTATTGATGAGCTCTGGGTTTGATTGGGAGACCTGTCTCCATGAATAACGTAGCAAGCAGGGTGACTGAGGGGGAC